AGAGCATACAAGATTTCTTTTGAAAGTCAGAGAAATTGATGTTTTCCCCTAGATCATGATTAATTCTTCACAGCATGGTAGAGATTTAACAGAACAATGGTAAAAGATAGGTTTATGATCCTCTTTCCTACAAGTAGAAAGTGGGAAAGCCAGTGAAAGGAGATGCTAGGAGGAATTCAGATTGGCTCTTTGAGCTAGGGATCAAAATATACTTTCATGCCTACCATTTATATCATTAAACATCAGTCCCTTACCTATTACTGCAGGGTGCTTTACTCCTACTTACTGAAAAAGGTGGAGTCTGAATGATGCTGTATCTTTATCCCAAATATGCAGCCCCATTTCCACCAGAGAAGGCAGAGAAAAGTAATGCTTAAGGTTAAAGCCTCCCACCCCATCCCAAATATCCCAGCATCTTGAAAAATGATTACTGGAAGGAAGAAGACCTCCTCTCACAAATCAAGATCCAGGTTGAAGGAGTGGGAGATGGGGTGGCTAGAGGTGTGTATGCATGCATGGCTGTAGTGATGCAGCCCCTGGGGGAATTTTCAGCATGGGAATTTTCTTAAGGGGATGGACACTGTGCAACTGGAAATAACAATAATGATGATAATTTGATTAGAAGTTTTCTGAAAGTGATTTACAATATAATTTAAAACAGTTGTAAATTACCAGTTAAAATACAAACACCTCATTGAACAACTAAAACATCAGTGACAAACATTAATAATGCAACTGAAGCATTAAAGAGCCCATCATCCGCCATCAAATGCTCAGGAATAGAGAAAAGTTTTAACCTGAAACTTTGTGGTTAAGTGCCCAGGCATCAGGCGGGCCATCCAGAGTTGGGGGCCACCACTGAGAAGGCCTTTTCCCTTTTCCCCATCCTTGGAACTTCCCGTGGAGGAAGCTCTCTGAAGAGGACCTCAGATGTTGATTGTGGGACCTAGGTAGGTTCAAAACGTGATGGGAAGGCCCTTTGTCAGTTATTGTGGACTTCAGGTGTATAAAAATAAGTTAAAACCAGCACCCTCAGCTAGGCTTTTTAATGTGGTTCTTTTTCATGGCTTTGGAGGCCTAATGTAATGACCTTACATGCCCATTCTTCTGCTGCTTAAAGATTCGTTTTGCTTTTCAGTAACTACAGTCATTCTATTGCTCATTATCCTTTCTTGCTTTTTTGTGTCACTTTAGCTAGGCAGGCATAAGATCCTCTAGGCACAGTAAGGTGTCCCACTGCATTAAATCAGGTAGGCAGTACATAAAGGATGGTATCAAAAAAATAGGCTGCCTCTAAAAAAAGAAAACGGGGGGATAAAGCCTGCTCGGAAAGGGTGGGTGAAGAGTTTCTCCTCAAATAAACCAAAAAGTTATCATGTGGCAATGCCTCAGACTAGGCAATACATAATATTTCTCATACGTTAGCTATTAATGTGCTACTTAATTCACAGTACACAGGCAGTTTGTAATACAGCATGGATGTTCCTATAGATAGGAGGGAATTTTTCCTCCATCCTTAGCAGTCACTAAACCAGGCCATTGCAGCAACCATTTTTTGGGAACAGGTACATGGCTAGGAAAAACACTAATACTCAGTAGTTGTGTGAGAGATAATACAGAATAGGAGTATTAGAGACAACTTATATGGAGGGAACAAGTAACAGAAGAGCTTCCCATCACCAGTGTTCCACAAGCAACATTCCAGCAAGTATAACATTATATATGACAAGAGAAGGGAGTCTGTAGCCCACTAGAAGTTATTGAAATTCAGCACCCAGCACCCTTTACCACTGGCTATGTTGGCGGTAGATGATGGGATTTAGGACTGAACAACTGGAGGGCCACAAGTTCTTCAGTTCTGAGATACACATTACCGTTACTGTTGCAGTATAATTTTCAGTGCCTATCATATTAACAGAAGAAGATCCATATAGGATCAAGCTGGAGGCCTATCTGGTATAACTTTCTTTCTATAGGGGCCAACCAGCTGCTGATGGGAAACTCACAAGCAGGTCATGAATGCAGTTAGCAGCTCCTGCTTGTGCTACCAAGCAACTGAAGGCAACACATAGCCATTATGGTTAGTGGCCAGTGAGAGCTGTGTCCTCCCCAAATGTGTCTAATCCTAATACCATACATATTAGTGGTCATCACTAATTTGGAAGAGAGTGCCATGGTTTAATTGGGCGCTGTATGAATAAATTCACTGTATCTACCCTGAATTTCCCACCATTAATTGGCCTTCAAGTAATATGAGAAGAAAAGTTAGAATCACAGAATCATACAATAGTAGAGTTGGAAGGGGCCATGAAGGCCTTTGCGTCCAACCCCTTGCTGTTTCAGGACACCAATTTATGCCATCCCACTCAGATGGCTGTCCAGTCTCTTTTTAAATGTCTCTAGTGTGGGAAAGCCCACCACCTCTCTAGGCAGCTGTTTCCACTGTCATATTGCTGTGGCAGGAAGGAAGCTTTTCCTGTTATCTGGCCTGAATCTGGGTTCTTGCAGCTTGAATTGAATGAACTTCTTCCAATCCTCTTTCTCCAGACCATGCATAATTTTTGTACACCTGTCAAGGCCTTCCTTACATTCTCAATTTTCTAAACTAAAAGGTCCTTAACAGTGCAATGTTTCCTTGTAGGGGGAGCTGTGTCACTCTTGACATTGTACTGACATTTCCTGCATCTTTTCCAAGTATTAACACCCTTTTTGAGGTGCAGTGAATAGAACTATGTGTCTGTGCAAGTCTGGTTGCACCACAGGTTTATATAAGGCATTATGTTAGCAGTTTTCACCATTCGTCTTCTGACTGAGATTCAGGAGATCTGGATTCTAATTCCCACTCAGCCGTGAAGCTCTCTGAGTGACTTTGAGCCTGTCAGTCTAATCTACCTCATAGGGTTGTTGTGAAAACAAAAATGGAGATGAAGACCATGTAACCTGCCTTGCCTTCTTTATAAGAGTAACAAAGATGGGATATAAATGTAAATTCAATAATAAGGAGACAGCTATTCTAGCTGGAAGATTGATGTTAATGCACCACCTCACTCTGCTACAGAGTATAGGAAGCTTTGGCTTTCCAAGTTGCAGGCTACAAATTCCATCGTACCTGACCATTGGTCATGCTGGCTAAAGCTTATAGGTGATGGAAGGCTACTAGTTCACTACTCCTGCTGTACTCCCAACAGGGTCTTGAATGGCCACAAACACCTGTTAAAATATCAGTTTTCTGCAACAAAATTCTGCTTCCAGAAAGTCACAGATAGTGATTAAAAATGAACTGCAACAAGCCCCAAGAATCCATTTGGAGATGGATTCACAGAATTAGTCATCAAAAGAACAAAGTCCTTCATGATGAAGGAGCCTACATCACTCAGATTTATGTAACAGTATGTCTTGCATATATAAGTTGAGAACGGCCGGAGAGATCTACATTGCTAGCTCTGGTCTGTGAAGAGAACTGTTACAGTGACATTCAAGAAGTACTACAGAATATTTGGTGTACCTGTCCAAAGATAACATGCAAGTCAAAAGGAATTTTGGTGAAGCTTAAGAGGATGTCCACACCCAACTAGGTGAGGTAATAGGTATATGAAATAATACTACATGCATATAGGTGCAGATCCTCTCAAGATTGTGCCATTGAAGGCTATTTATAGGAGAGTCACATACACAATACTATGACTAGGAGCTGAAAGTTACCAGATTTCCTATTATAAATTAATTTTTAGACAGAGCTTTTCAGTGAAGTGTAACATGGCCTGAATGATTTCAAAACACATATAAAACAAATTTGGTTAAGATGCATAAAAGAATCAGAAATTCATCAAGCTAAAATTATATTCTATGTCAGTCAGCAAACTCTTTACCCTGGGCGGGATCCAGGGTTAGTCATACTTAAGAGTAGACCCACTGAAATCAGTGGAACTTAGTCACCAAATGCTAGTCAACTAGGAACATGTGCAGGGAAAGCTCATGGTGTACTTAAATGTTCATAGCCTTGTTTTGTCCTTGAAACCAGGGTTCTACCTCCCCCCCCTTCCATTCCCTTGTACAACTTGTCTAATAGCAGGTCCTCCTTCTTTTTGATTGGTATGAACTGCTTTGGGAAACAACTGTTCTAGAATAGAAACAGTTTGCAAACCTTTTAAGCAACATTACATCTGTAAACTCCAGTAATTTTTAGGGGAGTCATATTCTGGTTCATGTTCAGGCAATACCACAGATCTTTTAGCTCAGCTCACCCAATAAATGACATTATACCAATATCTTGTGCTGTGCAACCATCTCCTTGAGGTATCTGTAGCAATATATACAATGTCATCCTAATACTGCAGAAATTCCATTGCCCTGGCTGAGCAAAACACAGAGCCAACCTAGAGCTAACACAGAGTGGAATTCAGAAAACTTTCTTCACTTGGTATGACCCATAAAGCTTTAAAATTCAGATAGAATTATCCATTACTGAGAGACTGGCAAACAACACCCAACTGTGCTGAGTTTTGAATCTACCATAGTATTTCAGACATTTTACAAAGGTGGTCTTGCCAACATCCTGGCTTCAGCAAAACTACATGCAAACAGTGCTTGGTTTTTTGTATGACTATTACCAATTTTATATGTAGGGATTGAGCCAATGCATCAGTGTGAGGATTTCTTTGAAGATTAGGTTCTGTGCATTTCAAGTATGACATAACGGAATGGTAGGTTAATAAACTATACAAAGCATACAGGCCTGCTAACTCTCAAGAGGCCAACACAGCTCATCACAGCCAAATATTCTTGGCAGCTCACCAAGATCTATGCCAAGATTCCCCTCCCCCACCACCTTATCATGGTGTTTCCAAATCCAAATTATTCATGCTTGGAAAGTCGAGTAAAATGTTTGCTCTGTCATTTCCATTCCTTGTGTTAAGCAAAGAACTAACACTGCCCAGCCAGCATCAAGCTTAATAAAATGACACTTGCTTTAAGCAGGCAGGAAATACCACATTTTACACTTTTGCTTTTTAAAAGATTTTAATCAGACACATTACAATGCACAATTGTGTCTTTTTAGCCAGAATTAACAGGGTACCATCCACAAGATTTGGAAAGAGGAAATTTTTCCACACTCATCCCTATCTCTTTAAATCAACACAGAGTATTCAAGGTTCCTACCGCCTCAGGGCCCCACCCCCACTCCATTCCCCCTATAGTTCCCATGTGTGCTGAACATCCAATGTTTTTGGTGGGTTTTAACTGGTTAAAAACAAATTATCAATTTGTAACAGCTTTAATGTATAAAACAAAACTCTAACTTGTCCAATACAGACAGGGTACTGATGACAACAATTTAGAAGAACACAAAGCCTGCAGATGTGGGTCACTTGTCCTACATCTAGTAGAAATTTATGGTTTATTGTTCCCAAACAATGTATAAGCAACCCTCATTCTTATTTATAACTAAGCATTCTGAAATAAAACAGTACATGTATTAGCTTGAGGAATGAACCTGTCTGAAAGTAGCATTTTGGGATCCCCCTCAAAACAGAATACTAATGTAAAATTAGTGAACAAATGTCCCATTCAACTACTTTATGAAAACATTCAATTTCAACATTTAAGCACCCCATAACAGTCTGGAAGGCAGAGTTCTTGCCTACTGGAACTCAGTTGTCAAATTATGAGCAGGCTGATATTATAAAGTGAGGAAACAAAATGAACCAAGAGCTACATTCTAATGTCAGGTGTACAAGTGCAAGTCAGCTATATAACTGGTAAGGTTCACCCCAGAATGACTATATTAAAGGCAGTTTTACTGAAGTGGTTTATCAGAAGGGTATCAGAACTGCTATTTATCCTTGAGCATCAAATGAGCATTATTTGTGTGTGCAGTCTTTTAACTGAAGAATTGCCTTAACAGAACTATTTAGAAGGTGAATAATTTAGGCACAAAGAAAGGAAAATTTGATAAATGTTTCCTTCGATGTCCAACCAATGGGTTACAAATCACAAATAAGCCCCCCCTCAAAACAAAACACACACAAAAAACCCCCAAAAACAAAAAATCTTGTCACAATAAACAGCTTCAGAGAGGGGGAAAACGGGGACAAAACTTTTGCACTCTGCACCTGAGATTAGAATCTTGTTCAAAACATATTTTAGGTGATCCATAAAAAATAAACCAAGGCTGCTAGATAGCAAAAGATTGGCATTGTCCCAGTCACATTTATCAGTTCCAATTAATCAAAGCATAATTAGCCATAATTTCTATTTCAAGAGCTATCCTGTTCCTTTGAATAAGCTTTCAGACAAGGAAACAATTACAGTAGTCATTTTTACATGCTAATATAGCCAGTGTGACCGACTTCTCATAGGTGCATTGAAGAAGTTCCACAGCAGAACTTCACAACAGAGATCAATTATTTCATCTTGCTATAGCAAGTGTAACCATTCAGAACATGTAAAAAGGAAACTTTAGTTCTATTACATGTTGATTCACTGATAATGCAAATAACTCCAGTGGATAAATCCAAGATAAAAGCGCCCTTCTGTACAAGAGTGAAATTTCATTATGGCCAGTAGAACAGGCACTCCAGACTAAAGAGTTGAAGTAACATATTTCTTCAATCAAAGACACTGAATGTTTTAGGAAAATAACCAGGCTCAAATTAAGCAGCATACTGAATGGAGAAATGTTTTTCTAGTTTATGTGGACTTAGTTAATAGCAAGGGTGTTAAGAGTAATGACACGGCTTATTTTTGGCTGGGGAAGAAGTCCACTTGTTAAGATTTTATAAGGCAAATGAAATAGATACTGAAAACAGAATTTCTACAAGCATTTGACCTGTAATATTGTAAAATCAAAGTACTATTTTATTAAATGAGTTATTTTATACAATATGAACATCAATATAATTACAACTGTAAAAAATTTAAGAATGAACCAATTTTCAAATTTCCAAGTAGGGCACGACTGTACAGATACATAGATTTGTCTTTACATGAAGCCCAAGAGGAACAGCATAAAAATATGAATGTTTCTATAGCCCCTTCATTTTTTGCTGATCAACAGTTTGTTAGAAAAGCGCTGCAGATTTGTTATGCAATGTCTGAAAGTAGAAGAGTCAATAGGTTCCATGTATTCACCTGCAACACAAGAGCACCACTGCTTAATTAAATTGCTGTATGACTTTAATAGCTAGACAAAACTAGATAATTTTTGGATTAAAGTCAAAAATTAAGATGACACCATTTCAAAATTAAATTAACCTTCCCAACCCCTTGTTAACAGAAGTGACTAAAACCATTTTAGAACACTGCACATTTAACTCCTCATTGAGGTACTGTTGATTTTACAGCTATTCATATTGCAATGCAATAACCTGACAATAGAAATTAAAGTTCTAAATATGGCATGTACCAATACACAATTAATCCAAGCATCTGTTTTTACACTTGTAGTGAAAATGGAAAGTTAACTTCATCTATAAATATTGTTAATTAAATATTTCAGAGATGAAGTTTATCTAGTTTTACATTTAATACAAATTTTAAACAGTACATAATCACCTGTGAACTTTATGCTTGAACATCAGCCAATTCTGGAGGGAGTGGAGTCTTCGGATGCTTGCTCTCAAAGTGCTGTTTGAAGGTCTTGGGATCTGGCATCTGTGTCTAATTAAGGAAAGAAAGCTTTATGCAAGACAAATCCCATACTGACCTCCATACAGACCCCCAAACAGCCCCCTTTCCCTGCATCCTCAAGGTTAGCAGCATTTGTCTAGTGTTTTGGGGCTAAACAGCAACCTGATTTTGGAGGCTCTGCTCTTCCCTCTCTATATCTCCTAAATTCCCCTTTCAAACTATTCACTCAGCCATATTCAGTTCTTATATTTTCCACGAGTTTATGCAATTTGGACCTTATTTCCTCTTCCATTTCATACTTCCCTCATTCAGCTGGTATTCTCTCGCAAATCAGCAAATTTAGTTTTAAACATAGCTTTCTAAAGGTTGACAAAATATAGAGCTGCAAGCTTAATTAAATACAACTAAAATAAACATGATAAAAAGCCATTTAGAATGGTTTTAATTTTCTTGAAATCCTGATAGGTTCATTATGACATTTAAAACATTATTTAGTAATAACCCTTATTGCATTCTGCCTATTTTTCATCCGCAAGTATGATTTTACTTTTCTACAACAATTATGAACAGGCTGTGACATGCTGTTTGTTAATTTCAGCAACACCTCTGATAGTAATTGACTATAATGGAGCCACTATCATGGAAACCCACTTTTTCTTCTGTGAAGGTTTAACTCAATATGGAACCAATGAACTTGCCCTTATAAGTGCACTTTCTCACAAATCTACTGTAATGGCCCCTGCCACCCAAATGAGAAGGCAAATACCAAATTATCAAAGAGGTATTTTACTATGCAGAAAACACATGCACACACAAGCTATCATCTAGGAGTTAACAGTTGATTCTGCAACAGGCTGATATATACATGGGGCTGCAACACTACCATTTATACTGTCACTTATGCAAGTAATAAAACTTATAAGCAAGGCACCCATGAAGTGTGGGAAAGTATATGGAAACACGATCTGAAAAGAAACAAGTTCGCACATAATTAACAGATATTTTTTGCCCCACTATTGGACCAATACAGTTACTTTGCCAAGTGCTATGCTCAGTTGTATATTCAGGCAAAAACTGTGTAATTATTTACTTCTAGATGTTCATCTTGATCATTTTTAATCATATCTGTTATGCATATGGCAAGACTATTTTATTGGTATTTTGTCCCTCTGTCAGTTATTTCAACTGTGTACTGCCTTAGGAGACTCATAGTGAACTGCAGCTTGTAAGTAAAATATTCTTCATTGTCCAGGGCCACATGAAGCATGGATGTTTCAGTTTCATTCCTCCTGACTGCTTAGTCTATTACTGCTAATCAAGGCTTACTGATTAGCAATAATTAATTACATCGTGCATATACATGCTGTTATGCCCTCCAACTGTCAGTAGCACAAGGTATGAAATTTGCCCAAGTGTTGAACAACTGGCGGAAATCATGGAACACAAACATGCATCTTCATCTGACATAAGGCACAACTGGTTGCTAGGTAACTTTTTGATTTACTAGCACAGAATGTCCAGCAGCTGAAAGCTAACACTTGGGAAAGGGATTGTACTCATGCAAATAGGTGGAAGATAGAAATCAATTGATATAATGGCTGCTGCTATCACATAGGGTACATTGAACTGTATATGTGAGCAGTGTTTCCATGGAGTTTTTCCTTCATGTTTGTAAACAGAGAGCATTAGGGGATTACTTAAGGTGAAGGGATGGCAGACCAAACCATTAATTCATCTCCATTTGGAATATCTTCTGTTCAAGGAAGAGGAAACCTATGGCTCCTGGGGTCCTCCTCTGTGGCTGCGCCCCCCCCCCCCCTTCTGTGCTGGTTGCAGAAGGAGAGGCTTCTCTTCATAGCCACCATGGAAAAGCAGAACACTGCAAATGCTGGGATCACACTCTGGATTAGGATTCTGGAGTGAGGGGCAGAAGTCTCTAATTCTTTGTTTGCCACAGTGGTAGCATTCTGGATTAGAGCCCTACATCTGTAATTTGCACAGGTGAGGAAAAGAATCCTCTGAAACAAATAGATTTTTTTTTTTTTGTAATACAAATTGCAGGCCCAGAGTCACTGATTCACACGATGAATGAATGGGATGTGCCTCTCTCTTACACACAACAACAAAATAGTTTTTCAAAATATCTAATTTCATACCATAAGAGTCCCGTTTGGGGTTTAAAGAAAATTTGCACAGTATTTTGTTTTGAAAGTCTCTTACCCTACAGACGGTGCAGGTATATATTAAAGCGGCCTTAGCTGCAGCCTTCTGATCATGGCCTTGTTTCTTTTTCTGTCCTGCTTGCTTTTTGGCATTTTTCTGCTGTGACTGAATCTTCTGCTGTCCACGGGCCATATCTAAAATTAATTGTGTTAAGTCATTATAACAGGTTACTCATATATACTCTAACCATATTTCTTTAGAAATACGTGTTCTAGAGTTCAAAGAATCTGTCCCTTTCTAACTGTATTTAGGACTAAAACTTTAGAAGCTGGCCTCTAAAGCAACCTGTCCAGATTGGGTCCTTTCAGATGTTTTGGAATACAATTCCCAGCATTCCTAATGATCAGTTATGCAGGCTGGAGTTGATAAAAACTGAAGTCCAAAACTTCTGGGGGACAGCTGGTTGGGGAGGGTTGTTCTTTATTTCTTAAAATCAGCATCAACATGGAAAATATGTAAGCACCCTTCACATACCCATATGGGTCAATTCTTCCTGAGGCAAGCACATCCTCTGAAAACTTCTTTTGCAATTCCTCTCACACGTGCTTTTCCCATAACTAGAAACTTTACAGGCTCTCCAGCATTCTTCTAAATCTAACTTGCACAACCTCTAAGCCCCTCCACCCTGGAATTCCAGCTGATATCTCCTATCTGAGACCAAAGATACAGGCAGCTCTGAGTAGCAGAACCCCTATGGGGACAACATGTACCACATAAAGCTGAAGAACTGGATTGTGCTGGGAAAGAACTCTTCCCAGCTCTGGCCAAGTCTGTTCATACTGCTCCCATCAGGATAATGCATGTCATACAAAGCTGGGAACTTGGTTCAGGGTTAGGAGGTGCAGATGTTCTTTCCAGTTCTAGTCAAAATCCCCTATGCCTCTCTCAGCACACAGAAAAGTAAAATGAGTAAGCTGATGACAGGAGTGCATATGGCAATGCTCACCAACATCATCTGATCCTCAGTGGAACTGGTGAGAAGTAATTTTCAAGTCTAAAACCAATTCCCCACACTTATAAAGATCAAGGAAGCAATTTTATAGAGCAACAGTAGCAGAATATTTCTCACTTTTGGGAAAGAATTCAGGTTCAAAAATCCTAATTAAGAGTTATAGAACAAACACAAGCTACAGCTATTTTCATAAGAAACATATGGCTACTGTTGAAACATGCAGCCTTCTGTCAAGTTACTTTCTCTTTCTCCCCTAAAACATATTCTGTATAAGGACATCACTATCACTGTACATTTCCCTGCAGTACTAATTTGTCCTATACAACCAATGATGTATAGTAATGTGAATGGAATGTTACAAATCCTTCACTGAATCCCTGGAATTCAACACCTTTAGTACTCCATCTGAACTTGGAACAACTGTAGCCTCTAGTAAATACTTGCTGATCATCTTAGATTAGCAATAGCCTACTATTTACTAATAAAGCTGGATATAAGTAAACAAGGACTGAACAACCACTAGAAGCCATACATAACGAAGGAAAAAATGTTTTGTTTTTTTTTAATGCTTCCCATCATTCAGGATGGAAAGGTGAAAGCAAAACAAGATTAAGTAAGAAACCTTGCTAAGGTTATTTGTGACAGACAGTATTATAGTTAAATATGTACAGGAAGGGTTAAGTCAGCTGAATGCATACAAATGAACAAAAGAACTACAAGGCAGCTCAGCTGCAGAACAACCAATGGAATTACAATCACAGGATCTACACCTTCTGTTAGAAGTGCCTGAATAGGTCTATTCCTGGTTTAAATCTATTAAAACTCTTCAATCTACTTCCAAAGAGTAGCAGCAGAATAAAGTATGCGCCAAAAGCATGCATCATTACAAGAAAGCTTGTAATGTCTATGTGGACACATCAGCAATATGCTTGACATAGAATCAATCTATCAATTTCAATTTGACTATTTTAAAATTCAAACAAAAATCAGCTTATGCTATGTACTTATATATTAAGTGTGCAATCCTATGAATATTTAGATGGAAAAATGTCCTAGAACTCATTGCATTTCCTACATGTACTCCCCATCTTCTCATGCACAGGGCTTAATTATTACCTGTTTTAATCAAGCCACAGCTTGCCTGTTCAGGCACTAACTACAGTTTTAGTAAAACAGGAAGTAATTAATTAAGCTCTGTGACAGAAGACAGGTTCAGAGGTCTTTCACTGTGCAAGAGCAGTGCTCATTCACAAACTTCCAAATTATGGTTTGAAGGATTTTCTGAGTGAAATTACCAAATTAAAATCTTGTTTTCAATGTAGAATAAAGAACTGCATGGAAAACTATTTAACTATTGAGGAATTCCTACTTGATCCAAGGATTGGAAAATTATGGTGCTAACAGGGATCTAGCAGATACAACGTAGTCCACAAATAATCTACTCCCATCTTATGCTCTCCAGCTAACTAAGCTCTGGATTATACTCTATTATTATTAACAAATTGTATGTGTGCTTTCATCTTCCATGCCATACAGAAATGCTAGTTATGGGTAATTAACTTTAAAGAAAATGGAGTTGCAAAGTGCTGAACTTCAGCAAATTCACTCTCTCAAACCTATGTTTGCTGAGAATATGTGGATCTAGGCCAGGGGTCAGCAATCCGTGGCTCCGGAGCCGCACGTGGCTCTTGAATCCCTCTGCTGTGACTCCGTCACTCAAACTACGTGTCACAGCCGCTGATCTGAGACACGTGCCAGCACAGCCACTGATCTGTGACACGCGCCGATTTACTGAGCTTTTCACGATTTACTGAGCTTTTTCCCCCGGTAGGCCAACCATGGATAAATTGAAGAAAAGAAAAAAATCTGAAGAAAACAGAACATTTAATGGTATGTGGGTAGATTCATTTGCTTTTACTGCTGACGAGACTGGTTTACCAGTATGCTTAATATGCGACGAGAAATTGGCAAACAACAAAAAGTTGAATGTTGCAAGACATTTTCAGAACAAACACACAGCCTTTGCTGAAAAATATCCGGATGGAGATGAGAGAAAAAAAGCCATTTCGGAACTGATGCAGAAGGTTGATCTGAGCAAAAATCATAATTTAAGTTTGGCTTTTTATTTCCTAAATACAAGGAGGACTCAAATAGACATTGAGTATTTTATTTGAAAGTAAACTTCAGCCCAGCATCTTTTTTTTCAGAGTTCGAAATGTTTTTGTTGCATGCAGAAATAAAAATTTGTTTTCTCTGTAGCAGTTCATTCATTTCATACATGCAACACACTATAGTTTTTTTTATACATAGCATAAAAGTAAAAAATGATATATGCAGTGTTATCTTCATTTTAGATGTCAAAAGGATTTTGCAGCTCCCAGTGTTTTTTCTGTGGGAAACGGGTCCAAATGGCTCTGAGTGTTAAAGGTTGCTGACCCCTGATCTAGGCCATTATTAAGGTCAATACTGTAGGTAAAAAATCTATGGACAGAAGCTTCTTTGTAAATACAACCTTCCATGTTGCACTGTAAGACAAACAGAGTCTGCTAAGGAACAGCATAGTTCTACCATTTGGTTAAAAGATTGCACAGTTACTTATTGCAAGTGCCATGGAACTTAGTTCTTAGCAAACATACAAGGGATTGTGCTATCAGCCCTTAGTTCTTTGCACATGTAGAGAAAGACTCAATCATTAATATAGCAGTATTAGTGAGCCCCATCTCTAAGCTGTTATAATAAAGGAGTGCAAAAGGCTTGTCAGCTGGATCACCAAATATTCTGAATTACGTTTCTAAATATGAAGGTTCTTTTATTATGCTGAACACAAAAGCTAGCATGTGTTAACTGTTATAACTATTAATCTATATTTATTCCTGCCACAGTAGTATATAAATTTCAAAACAGGGAACACCATTTAAAGTTGCTTTAATCTATATCAATCCACTTTGCTTTCAAGGGACTCATACTTCCTTTTTATAATACTGATTATTTAATTTGTATCTTGCCCATCATACAAGCTGCTCACATGCATGGACAATACCTTTTTATTTGCCAAACATCTCTGTAAGGTAGATTAGGGTTGGCTGAAGGCATGAAACAGGCCAAAGGCCAGCTAGTATCATGGCTGCAAGACTGAGAAATGCACTCTTCAGAGAGGTTTGCCTAGCACTGAGCCTATACTCTTTTCGGCGCCAGGTCAAAACCTTTTTATTTAATTGTTATTTTAAAAATTAGTATTTTAATGGTTTTAACACTCGCTTTTATTTTTACTGGTTATATTGTGTTATTATATTATACTGTGATACTGTTTTATTTGACTTTGATTTTAATTGTTGTAAGCCATCCTGAGATGTTATACATAAAGGATAGCATATAAAAGTTTTAAATAAATAAAATTTGTGTTAACCCCCAAGCTTTCCATAAAAAGCAATCCAGCAATTTTCTTTTCAGCCTGTTGCCTTTGTGCATTCTCCATTATCCAACAGGTGGCATGTGGACTCTGAAAAAATAATTTTAGCCAGTTCTGGTTTCCCTTTGACTGCTGCTTGTATCACTGTGCAGGTGCACAGAGGAAAGTATCAACTTATGCTGTTTGAAATTTCAGAAGATACACTCTTGGTAATTTTGTTGGATAAGACAGACAAGGCTGAAGAGTTGCAGGCAACCAAATCTTATCCATCTTAGTTACTGTACTGTACTCTTGAAATACAAATTAAGATTACTTTAAGCCAGTTGCAAACCTAGTCTAGTAGTGATCACAAATGAATGGAGGCAAATGAACTCCACAAAACAGATTAGAAAGCTATCCATATCTGCTTAACTTTTAAAAGATGTGCATCTTACCATTCAACTCTGAGGCTCACATAGCTGCTTACTAGGGCTGTAACCCAGTAAAAGAAATGTGCTTGTATGCGTTTCAGTTGATTACTTAAAGAAAGTGTGCAAACAATTCCAAACAACAGTTCCAGAGCAACAAACTGTTTTTTTGAGTACTTTACTGTTAACGATATAATTATTCATTATACAAATTATCAACCAAAAGATTTTAACAGAGCTCAAAAGCTAGTGACAAATACAGCAAGGACTTACTGGAGTATTATAACCCCTCAAGCTCTTTTTGAAGAAGTCATTACATTGCTTTGATAAAATTAAAAAAATATTTAAGGCAATATGTTCTAAATGTTTAGGCAACTTGACAATTGCTTGGGAAAAGCCAATTGGGGATCAGATAGTGTTCGTTTTTGTTGGTAAATAAGGGAATGAAAAAGCATATAAAAATATGCAGAAATAGTGAATCATAGACCAACAAGCTATAGCTCTATTATTGTTTCAATGTAAAATTAGCACTTGCACTTTCCTCCAGGTGAAACAGTGTTTCCCATACAAACATGATTAATATTTCTATTGTGTTTTATATGGTGTAATTGTTTTAATGTCTTAATACTTTACTGTTTTTCTTGCATTGCTTTAAGGTTTTATTATTTTAAACTTCTATGCACTGTCATGATAGCATTTATAACAATTTATTTGCCAAAAAGCTAAGAACTTGCTAATGATAATTATCTCCATCTCAGTTTTTGCAGAACATTTCATCCTTATGCCAGCAAAGAGATTCTGGAGAAAATGGCAGACTTGTAGACATGCTGGGCATACTTGTTATGTAAGTATGTTAGTTACTGTTACATTGTGTTTTGACTTTAGAACAACCCCATGAGAAAGATCACTTAGGGCACAATTCTATGCATGTTTAGTCAAAAAAAGCCCTACAACTTCCACCATTTCTCAGCCAGCCATGCTATGTGGGGGATTCTGGCAACTGCAGGGCTTTCTGACTAAACATACATAAGAATCCTCAGGAACTTATGGGAGGAAGTGAGGCAGCAATAACAACTTCATCCATGGCCACACACATGGCTGATTCACACATAACTAGGCCATCATTGGCTACTCTTGGTTGTTTAACTCTACCATAAACCACAACACCCAGTTTCACATGGCATGGCATAGTACATGGCCATTGTGGTTTATATATTCAAAATGGCAGGCGCCAGGCACCACTGCCCATGATTGTACAAACCAGGTCAGTGAGTGAACTCATAAAATCACTGCTCCTGGATGAAAGCGTAATGGTTTACTAGATTAGACAACACCACAAAATTATCTAATATTATTATCCACAGAACTTGCATTGCTTTAACAATTCATGTAGTTTTAAATTGTCTGCCTACACCTAATTACATACACATAATTCTTCAAATTTTTAATAGGATTTTTAGATTTACTTGTTCCAGGGAAAAACCTTTTCTGCACCAAACCAGAATGTGAGTTGTTGTGACCAGCTATATCCTGCGTAACAAGTTATTTCACAGGGAGTGCAATCCTATGGCTGCTAGACAAAATCTAGGTGAGCACTGGATTTTTCAGAGATCTAACTACGAGGTTGGAAAATCATTCTGACCTTCCCCAGTTGTAGTTTGCAGGGAAAGAAATATGCTGCATGCATCTCCGAGGTCTGAAGAGCAACCATATAGGGAGAAGAGGGGAGAAGAGAAGACAAGGCCCTGCCGAAGTATCCTGCCAGTGACTTAGCTTCCTTCTCTCACACTCTTGAGGCATGACACTTGGGACAGCCAAAATCAGCCATCTCTGTGCTTTGCAAGGTGGTATGAGCACAGAAGTGACCTTCATTTCCATGTCCTTTCACTCTGCATAGGGTGGCTGTAATCCTCAGTATTTGTAAGGTTACAGACATCTGGATTGGATTGCGCCCTAGGTAGATTAATAAAGATAGGATCAATTAGGCTTTGCATACTGGCTGCTAATATGTCAATATGTTTTCCTTTTGTAATAAGACTCATACAATGTTTGTCATGTTTACAGTAAGCCTATACTTGCTAGTTGGAACAAGTAAGAATTTAAAAGGGCAGGATAGGCAAGATATTCCTTGTGATGGCAAATATTCCTCCTATTCATGAGACTGTCAACAAAATTCAATCTGTTAAGTCCCCAAAGAATTTCAGTCTTGATACAACAATTCCTAGAGATACACAGAGACAGTCATGTTATCAGACATTTTCTGGGCTTCAGGTATGAACTCCCATAACCCAACATAGCTATCTAGTCCTGACATAGTGGGCTTCTGTAAATGCAGGCAAAATCATAACAAATTACTACAAGCATAATTGAGCAATAGTCATATTAAAAGGCATGTAGTTTAAAGAAATCCTTGAGGCAGTGTACTCTTTGGAGCTCCTTAATGTCAACAGATCAACAGCTACAGTTTTCTGAACAGAACTTAGGTGCACAAGCATTCAAAACTAAATATGCCCCTCCCCCTCAAAAGTTCAGGAAAAAGCAAAACACAGATTAAACTGTCAAACACAGCTCCTGCTCAAGAACTTGTTTTGTAGAAGGAAATATCTAATTCTGCTAACAGTCCATGCATGTGACAGAGAAACAAATAGTAACAAACTTTCATATCTCAGGTCTAACACCAACAGCTGCCTTTTACACATGTAGCTGCAAAGAGATTAATTTGAACTTGAACATACAGTTAATCCTCACTTTGGTCAGGATAAATATATACAAACATTCCAATTTTTAACTGTTTCATGTGATGAAGTAAAAAAGAACAGCACACTATCCCACTATGTGATGGCACGACAAAAGAGGCCAAATGTGGGATAAAGGCTTCAAGAATCAGACCTCAGTGGTTTCCCAACACCTATTCAAGGTGCCTAGATGCTCCCAGTAAGGCTACTTAATAATCTTTGGCGTCACCTTCACTTTGATGGCAATCTAAAGATACAGGGCATTATAAAATAATTACATCTTTTATAAGTAACATTAAAAACCCCATAACACTGCCCAGAAATTCTCTTCTGAAGCAATTCTTAAGAATTTTTTTGTGTTTAAAGGGGCTTTAGAAAGCGAAACAGCACCCACAAAGCCAGTCCCAGATAAACAATCCCAATAGCCAAATGATTATTTCTAATTGCTTTCGGTAGGCCCAGAAATAACTCTCAGCCACTTATAACACACGCCAGGAAGATGGGGAAAAAGCAAGTGACAAATGCCCCCACAGGGCAGGCCCGCCAAAGGCCAGCATAATCATGTGCTCGGCCACTGTAAACACCCCGTCACAGGAATCTGAGGGCAAGCGCCTCAATGCCTAGCCCCGCTAAAACAAACCCCACGTCCCTCCTCCCTCCCTCCCTCTCCCCCATACCGCCGAGCCCCTGACAGGAAAACTTCCCTCAGGATCAAGCAAGGCGGAGGTAGAAAAGATTTCAACCCGCGCTAAGGAGGCTGTCGGCCTCTCCCTCGCTACAGCGAAGCCTCTCGGGCCCAGCGGCCTCGCGTCGATGGAGCCCCCTCGTTTACCCGGGCTGTGGGATCCCGCCTACGAGGCGTCAGTCGGCGGCTAGCGAAGAAGGCTCCGCGCGGCCCAGCAGCAGCAGCTGCTGCCGCCGCCTGCCCAGGAGGATGGAGAAGCCCGTATGTCTTCCTGTCTGTCTTCCTTCCTGTCTGTCGGTCCGCCCGTCCGCCAGCAGCAGCACCGCCTTCGTCGCCGTCGTGCGCACGCGCCACCTCCGCGGCCCCCCCAACCCCCACCCGGGCCTAAACAGGCCGAGCCACTCCCGCCAACGCCTTATCTGGCTGTACCCGCGCCGGGCCAATAGCGGCGCCTCCCCATTACATAACACGGGCGGGAGCACGAGAAGGCGGGAGAGTGCGGGTGGCTGAGGGGGAGAAAAGCTCTCGTTGGAGGGGAGGGGGGAGACTGGCCGAGGGCCCTGCAGCGCCACTTCTTCCCTCCACGTTTTCTGGTTCGTGTCAGAAGCAATAATTTTCCCGCTCTGTTTCTTGGGTTGTGGAAGACGAAGGGGAAGCGACCCGTATCTCGCCAGCAGGGGACGGAAAACAGATGCTGCACAGCAATAGCACAGTCAAAATGTACTTGGTCTTAAGGCATTTTTGTGCCTGCTCATTAAGTTCTAATAAAAGATGGTGTTCGTCTGGATATACAAGTATTCCCTCTCCCGCTCCAGAAAGGAACAAGGAAAAAAAGCAGAGCTACTTGCGGCAGTAAAGGTCCTTCTCTTGGTTTACTGAGGAGAAAACTTACTGACTGCTTATTTAGCTTTTCCTGATGTGTATTGGGTCAGCTTGACTCTGACCCTGACGCAAACTGCTCTAGTACATACATAACTAGAATGACGAGAAACTAAGTAATCCAGAGATCGAGCGATGAAATCTCTGGCAAATTTCGGTCTGGCACGCATACACAGCCCCACCTCTTCTTCTTTCTGCTTCACAAGTTACGTGTCTCCCCCGCTTGAAAAAAAGAATGTCACGTGTACGCCTCCTGACAACTTGGAGATGGCGACCGTTTCCAAATGTGTGTTGACTTGCTGTGAAATATGTAGGTGAATGTAGTTACGTGCAGTAATTTATATTCTGTTATGCAAAAAGAGTCTCAGAGTGGCAAAATATATTTTAAATAAATAATAGGAAGAATGTGTAGCACTATAATAAAAGCCTAAAAGAATAGGTGAACTTGATTCTTTTTAGAATTAGTTTAGTGTCACTTTAAATAAGGAATTCATTGCCGCTGATGCTTAATTTTGTGAATTTACTTTGTGTGTGGTGGGGTTGCTGCTGTTGGTTTTAGTTGTTCATGTGTTTGAATGATTATTTATGTGTTTATATTTTGTAAACTCCAGTGAGCCAGTTCTTTTAGGTACTTTTTATATTTATGCTTTATTGTGAAATACAAAAGCGAAACTACACCATTAGAGAAGAATAAGAATAAACTAAAATATTATAGTAGTTGAATAAAAATTTAAAACATCCATAACACTAGTAACATATAATAAATCTCTGTATTTCTACTGTATAATAGAACATACGACTGTTATTAAAAATAATTCTATATAGACTCCAACAAGTCACTACAAATATCTATATATCTATTTGTGGATTATTGTTAAAGGCTGGCCATTCAAAAACTGAGTTTAATTCAGGGCCGTCTTATCAGCATTATGGGCCCCGGGCAAAGCAGTGTACTGGGGCCCCTACGACAACTACAACTACTGTTAATTTTGGAAGTTTTCCAATTTTCCAATGGTTAGCATACACAGATTAGTATGGGGCCCATGGGCAAGTGCCCATCAGGCCCATGCATTAAGACGGCCCTGGTTTAATTAAATCTTCCACCAATTGTGTTATTTCAGGGGGTCGTTTATCCTTCCAATATTGTAATATTAGTCTTTTAGCTGTCAAAAGGGTGCAGAAAATCCATTAATGTTAATCTTACATTGAATTTCAAGGGATGTGTAGGTAAATCAAAAGAACATGTATGTCCCTAAATAGTAAAGAAATTCTCGTCACAGAATTATCCAAATTATTGCCTCTTCCTGAGGGGAAGTTGCTATTGGGCATTATAATTTGGGAATAGAATAAAAAAATCTCAGAGTGCTAGGTCTCAGAGGTCATGTTCTCTGTTACCAGACAGTTAATGCATATTCTTCTGTTTTAGCTGCACTGGCTGCCAGAGCCTTCCACACCTAATTTTATTAACTTATTAAAGTTATATGCTGTCACCCCCAGCCAGAAAAGTTATCTGGGCAGTTTACAAAGTTAATTTAGGCTGCAATCCATTATTGCTATTAAATTTCAATACCATCCAAGAGACCAAGCTCTCCAGGAGTTTTGCAAAGGATTAAAACACTTAAAATACAATATGAAACACAAAAGAATTTACATGCAGCATAATTTAAAATATTCAACAATAAACATCCTGGAACAGGTTAAAACTTTATTTTGCACCATTTCATACCTTGGGGGAGAGCAAAGTGCTGAGGGAAGACTGTGTTGGCACCAGGTGAACCCAGAGATGTTTACTTGTGAGTAGGCAACATTGAATTAAATGGGACTCCTTCCTGCACTACCAATAGGTTACAGGTGACTTTTAAAACACTAAATGGCTTGTGACAGAAATGACCTACTCCCATAGGAATCTGCCTGGTCTATGTGTCATTTACCTGTGAGGCTACATGGGTATATATGAGTAGGGTAGTTGTGTTAATCCGTTGCAGCAAAAATAGCAAATAGCCTTAAGTACCTTAAGTTTGTGCTACATTAAGTTAGTCTTTAAGGTGCCAAAAAACCTGTTGTTTTCATTTAAAAGGCTTTCAAAGGTTGTTTTTCTCAGACTGAGTTGGTAAGCCTGTGTCTGAGCTATACTACATCAGGCTACAAATGTGGTTTCACCTTACTGAATATTTGAATAAAACTACCCAGTGCATAGGATACTAGCGTATCAGCTAGAAGTCTACATTAGAAATCTTTTTGCTGACTTGATAGTGAGAACATGTGAACAGACTATTTGGAGAACCAATCATGTGAGCTAACCCATGAAGTCTGAAGTGATGCAGCCCAGATGCAAGCTGATTCCCTAGAGAGAGCTAGGCTTTGCCTTAATATCTTTGCCTGAGTACCTTGAAAATGCATGAGTACAGCATGCCAGCATGGCTGTGAGTCTTCTTGAGCATGTTGAGGAATATATTTCTAATGAGATCCTAGATGTGTCTGATCTAGCCACAGTCATATGCTTGCCTTAGTTACATCCCATTTGGACTATCGCAACACACTTTGTGTGGAGATGCTTTTGAGAACTGTTCAGAAACTTTAGTCATTCAAATACTATGGCCAGACTGTTGATGGTGACTCATTTACAGAGCATGTGACTGCCTTATTACAACAACTGTACTAGGTACTGGTCTGTTTCTGGGATCTGTTTGAAATGCTGCTTGTGGCCTGTGAAGCCCTATGTGGCTTGCAACCAGGCTACCTGAAAGATTGTCTTCTCCCATATAAGTCTGCCCTAATTTAAAGGTTTTGGTGGAGGCCAGTACTTAGAACATCAGAGAGGCATTTGGTGGGGACACAAGACAGGTGATGCTGCTCCCATGCACTGGAACTCCCTGTCATAGATTAGGTTGACTCCCACTTTACTTGCCTTCCATCAGTGGGCAAAGATGTTTTTATTAAAGTAGTCCTCTGGTATATAAACTGGGTTAGGTGCTGTTTTTATTATTTTATCCTTGTATTTTAATGTATTTTTCTATTATACTTTTAGTAGCATTTTTATTTTAAAAGTTTTGTTCTTATTGTTTGCTACCTTAAGTACCAATAATATTTCTACTGCCATCATTTTACCACTCTACACTATGATTATTTTTGCCATAGAAGGTGTATGGTGGTGGAAGTTATTACAACTTTATTTTACTCATTTGATTCACATTTTAGTATGAGATTTAGTATCAGTGGAATGCCCCATTTGAAATTATAGTTATTTCTGATGCCAACATAGACAATCAGACAATTGTCATTGTCAAAACCATCATCAATACTCTTTGTGGGCTCTTCCATTTATGACAACAGATGCAAGCAATGTGTTGCAAGCAATAGTGGCATATGCTACAACATAAAGTTTGTGGAAATAGAGCCAGGTAAAAAAACTCTTTGTGAAAGCATAAGAAAAGTTCTAAGGGCTTTATTAAAAAAAGAAAAATAGATATTTATTTTTGAGGAGGAATTAAAATGATGGTGATTCCTAGATTTTAAAAACAAATTTTCTAGTCTGAAAACAGCAGTTCTAAATGTTGTAAAGGAAAAATGAAAGTATTAAAATCCTAAACAAGAACATAAAAATACGTTTCCATTAAAGGCTTGTCATACACTGACAGCATAGAACATTCACAATTGCAGAACGTTGGTTTCCATAAACTAGCTGTTACCTCTCACTTTAACATATGCAGTGGAATGAGGAATGCTTAACATGGGACAGGCAGCCTTGCATTCCATTAAGTCCTTAGATAGCCTGCTGTGTTTCCATCAACATACACTCTGAGACCATTCCTGAAATAGCTTTTGTCTCTTTACTTCCTAAAGCTCTGACACAATCATGCTGTTGCATCTTATGCAGTATTCTTTTTTGTTATAGTGTAAAATGTAACATTCATTAGACTCAATATAGAAGTGACAGTGCTCAACAGATGAGGAGAGCAGAGCAAAACAAGGGTAGATAAGAGGGATTCATGTCCAGGGGAGAAAACAATGTGTCCTTTCTGGAAT